TTCAATCAATCAATCAATCATTCAATCAATCAGATTCCAAATTCTCCACCATGGCCAAGACCAAAGAACTGTCCAAGGATGTCAGGGACAAGATTGTAGACCTACACAAGGCTGGAATGGGCTATAAGACCATCACCAAGCACCTTGGTGAGAGGTGACAACAGTTGGTGCGATTACTCGCAAATGGAAGAAACACAAAATAATGGTCAGTCTCCCTCAATCTGGTGCTCCATGCAATATCTCACCTCGTGGTGTTTCAATGATCATGAGAATGGTGAGGAATCAGCCCAGAACTACATGGGAGGATCTTAATGAGCTCAAGGCATAGGTGAGACCATAGTCACCAAAAAAAGTATTGGTAACACACTACGCCGTGAAATACTGAAATCCTGCAGTGCCCGCAAGGCCCACCTGCTCAAGAAAGCACATGTACCAGCCTGTCTGAAGTTTGTCAATGAAAATCTGAATGATTCAGAGGAGAACTAGGTGAAAGTGTTGTGGTAAGATGAGACCAAATTGAGCTCTTTGTCATCAACTCAACTCGCAATGTTTGGAGGAGGAGGAATGCTGCATATGACCCCAAGAACACCATCCTCAAACATGGAGGTGGAAACATTATGCTTTGGGGGGTTTTTCTGCTAAGGGGACAGGATAACTGCACCACATCAAAGGGACGATGGACCGGGCCATGTACCGTAAAATCTTGGGTGAGAACCTCCTTCCAGAGCAATGAAAATGGGACGTGGATGGGTATTCCAGCATGACAATGACCGAAAACACACAGCCAAGGCAGCAAAGGAGTCGCTCGAGAAGAAGCACATTAAGGTCCTCGAGTGGCCTAGAAAATCTGTGGAGGGAGCTGAAGGTTCGAGTTGCCAAACTTCAGCCTCGAAACCTTAATGACTTGGAGAGGATCTGCAAAGAGGAATGGGAAAAAATCCCTCCTGAGATGTGTGCAACAAGGGTTTTGCCACCAAGTACTAAGTCGAACGGATCAAATATTTATTTCACTCATTTTATAACTTTTTTGACATGCATTTTTCTGGATTTTTTTTGTTATTCTGTCTCTCACTGTTAAAATACACAAACCGTTAAAATTATAGACTGATCTTTTCTTTGTCAGTGGACAAACGTTCATGCCTTGTGCCATTTTGGGCCTTTCCCTGTACCTTTTACTACTTCAGTTTTTCCCCATTAGGCTTTATTTAGCCTTTTTCTCATTAAGCCACAACTCCTTCTGGTTCTGTTTTTTCTGGCCTGCTTGTCGCTGCTGTGTTCCAATAAGCTATGCTGTATGCAGACCTGTTGGTCCATGCTGTGTGCTCCAACATGCTGTGCTGCATGCAGGCCTGCTTGACCCTGCTGTGTGCTCCAGTGAGCTCTGCTATTTCCAGGCCTATTTGACCTTACTATGTTGTCACATGTGCTGTGCAGCTCCCATGTCTGTGTTGGTTCTCTATAGCCATGCTCTGGTGTTTTTTCTTATCTGCCTACTGTGTTTAATCTACTGCAACTCTTACTGCGCATCTGGGTTTGCTGGTACATAGCTCAGGATATGGCTCCTGTTTAAGCCTCTGTAATGGAGATTCTCCAGTTCCTTTCATTGTTGTTTGAGAGTGGCAGGTGTATCCAATGTTTAAGGTGTGTAGCTACGCCATCTCCTCGGTTTCACAGGAGTTTTCTTACCTGCCAGTGGGAAAGCATAATTCTATGTGTAGCCTTCCTTGAGGTGCATTTCTCAGCCACCATGGGTTAAGAATACCTGCTCTTGGGTTGTTGATTGTGTCCTGATGACTTTCATGTCATGGCCTCCAAATGCTGATCTGTAGCTTCAACAGTTGTCTGTTAAACTGGTGACTTTAATTTGCTGTGTCATGCAAGCATATGTCCGTTTGGTTTCTAGACTGGGATGATTCGCTTTTACGCCATAAGTTGTGGAGTTTGAGATATCACAACGTACTAAGACCTCCTGCCGTTCCTTTCTAGACCAAATTTGTGCCCTGTTTTTTGCCTCTGGGAGTATGAATGCAGTACTGCTTCCTACTGCCCTGATGCTTTCCCATTGTTTCTTGCATTGAGGCCCCCTTTTTGGCCTTTCTCTAGTACTACCTTGGCTTGCTGGGTCACATGGGTATTGTCCTCTGATGGAGTGAATATCACTTGGTTTTGGCGCCCACTTGGTCTGCAGGGCATCTGCCTCGCAGGTAGTGTCTCTGGGGGCAGCCTGGTGGAGTCGATGTGGTCAGCTGATTGGTCATGGTAGTCCACCTTCTGTGAATTCTACTTTAAACCTGTTTGTCATGTTTTCCCTTCTGTGGTTGTGCCGCTTTGAACTTGCACAATATGAGCCTCTGTGTCTAGAACTAAATTTACATTATTTTGCTATTAAATGATTTTATGAACGGCACAGAAGCGAATCCCATTTGACTCAATTCTTATGCTACGACATGGATGGAAAAGAGTTATTGATTGAAGTAAGAATTGTCAGAGATTAAAAAGTTAATTTGAACTGTTTTTTCTTTTTTTCATTTTACAAATTTGTTTGGTTGTTCTTGGTAATAGAAATAGGCACACACTAAATTAATCTTGTTATACCCCCTGTCTTTTAATTGTAGAGCTAAACTCAAGATGCAGCCAATTGCTCAGAGCACCTGCCTTGCAGAAACTTCTCATTGAGCTGCATTGGGAAGTCTGTGATCAGACAGCCACTGAAAGTCTGGGCTGGAAAATAAGGGGAGGGCTTGCAAAGGCTGCAGAGAAGAGATATGGAGCTTTTGTAAGCGATTTTAAGATATAACTCCAGTGAAAAATGAATACATGTTTTCATTGGTGGTTTATTCTACCAAAGAATTGTTTTATTTTGTTTTTTATTTGAGCAGTGGAGTGTCCCTTTAAGGGCAAAATAGCCAAACGGTAAGAATATCCAAGTCCGCTATGCTTTTTAAAGAAACACTTTAGTCACCCAGATCACATAATCTCAATGAAACTTAGTAATGTAACGCAAAAGCCCCATCGGAGAGCATTGCCTCGATGCTTTCCTATGTGGAGTTTTGCATGTCCGTAGCATTCACCGCACATGCACATTACATCCTCAATGCTAATCTATCTCCATGATATCGGCGGGGGAGAACAGGTCAGCTGTGCCGATGGAGCCTCTGCGCTGGAATAAAGTAACCAAACTTTATTTATTTATTTTTTGCTTGGAAGGTGGCTAATTCTAATAGGCAGATGGACACTATAGCATTAAGAAAACAGATTTGTATTATGTATTTTCCTTTTAATAAAGCTACTTTGGCCTTAAATTTGAAATTCACTTTAAATTCTCAACAAGTCTAACGAATATGTTAACATTTTACAGTTATATATACATACAGTATATTATGTATACATGTATTTTTAAATTTGATTTAACTTTATTTGTAGTGAGATATAAGTCATAGTAGTAGTGGAGTCAGGTTTTGGATTCAGGTTTGCTTAGGTCACAAGAACCTAAAACTGGATTTCAAAACAAAACTTTGTTTTACATAGAATGTGACGGCAGATAAGAACCATTCGGCCCATCTAGTCTGCCCAATCTTCTAAATACTTTCATTAGTCCCTGGCCTTATCTTATAGTTAGGATAGCCTTATGCCTATCCCACGCATGCTTAAACTGCTTCACTGTGTTAACCTCTATCACTTCAGCTGGAAGGCTATTGCATGCATCCACTACCCTCTCAGTAAAGTAATACTTCCTGATATTATTCATAAACCTTTGTCCCTCTAATTTAATACTATGTCCTCTTGTTGTGGTAGTTTTTCTTCTTTTAAATATAGTCTCCTCCTTTACTGTGTTGATTCCCTTTATGTATTTAAATGTTTTGATCATATCCCCCCTGTCTCATCTTTCCTCCAAGCTATACATGTTAAGATCCTTTAACCTTTCCTGGTAAGTTTTATCCTGCAATCCAGGAACCAGTTTAGTAGCCCTTCTCAGAACCCTCTCTAAGGTATCAATATCCTTCTGAAGATATGGTCTCCAGTACTGTGTACAATACTCCAAGTGAGGTCTCACCAGTGTTCTGTACAATGGCATGATCACTTCCCTCTTTCTACTGCTATTACCTCTCCCTATACAACCAAGCATTCTGCTAGCATTTCCTGTTGCTCTATTACATTGTCTGCCTACCTTTAAGTCATCAGAAATAATCACCCCTAAATCCCTTTCCTCATATGTTGAGGTTAGGACTCTATCAAATATTCTGTACTCTGCCCTTGGGTTTTTACGTCCAAGATGCATTATTTTGCACTTATCCACATTAAATGTCAGTTGCCACAATTCTGACCATTTTTCTAGTTTACCTAAATCATTTGCCATTTGGCTTATCCCTCCTGGAACATCAACCCTGTTACATATCTTAGTATCATCAGCAAAAAGACATACCTTACCATCAAGACCTTCTGCAATATCACTAATAAAAATATTAAAGAGAATGGGTCCAAGTACAGATCCCTGAGGTACCCCACTGGTGACAAGTCCAAGCTTCGAATATATTCCATTAACTACAACCCTCTGTTGCCTGTCACTCAGCCACTGCCTTACCCATTCAACAATATTGGAATCCAAACTTAAAGATTGCAGTTTATTGATAAGCCTTCTATGTGCAACAGTGTCAAAAGCCTTACTGAAATCTAAGTAAGCAATGTCTACTGCACCACCCTGATCTATAATTTTAGTTACCCAATCAAAAAAATCAATAAGATTAGTTTGACATGATCTCCCTGAAGTAAACCCATGTTGTCTCTGATCTTGAAATCCATGTGTTTTTAGATGTTCAACAATCCTATCCTTTAACATGGTTTCCATCACTTTCCCCACTACTGAAGTAAGGCTTACTGGCCTATAGTTGCCCGGCTACTCCCTATTACCTTTCTTGTAAATGGGCACAACATTCGCTTACTTCTAATCTTCTGGGACTACTCCTGTTAACAATGATTGGTTAAATAAATCTATAAAATGGTTTTGCTAGTACACCACTAAGCTCTTTAATAGTTTTGGGTGTATTCCATCAGGTCCCATTGACTTATTTGTCTTTACTTTTGACAGTTGAAATAGAACCTCTTCCTCTGTAAACTCATTTATCCTTTTTCTTAACTGAGGTTCCTTTCCTTCATTTTCATCTGTAAATACAGAACAAAAATATTCACTGTGGCAGTCAGCTAGACCTTTATCCTCTTCTACATACCTTCCTTCGTTTGTTTTTAATCTAACGAATCATTGTTTTACTTTTCTTTTCTCATTTATGTATCTAAAAAAAGGTTTGTCCCCCTTTTTTTCTGACTGTGCTATTTTCTCTTCTGTGTGTGATTTGGAAGCTTTTATAACTTGCTTAGCCTCTTTCTGCCTAATCTTATAGATCATTTTGTCTTCCTCACTCTGGGTTTTTTTATAATTACTAAATGCTAACTTTTTGTTTTTAACTTTTTTGGCCACATCTGCAGTGGTTTCTTGAATTTTTTGCTTTTACTGACAAGCCTAATGCAATTTTCTGTTGCCTTCAATAGTGCAACTTTTAAATAATCCCATTTCTCTTGGACTCCATTTAAATTGTTCCAGTCTGATAATGACTCCTCTACCCATATTCTAATTTTAGAAAAGTCTGTTTTTCTAAAGTCTAAAACTTTTGTTTTTGTGTGGTGTGACTCAGTCACTGTTCTTATATTAAACCACACTGACTGATGATCACTGGATCCTAAACTTTCACCTACAGTAATATCTGATAACAAATTTCCATTTCTTAACACTAAATCTAGTATGGCCTCTTTATGAGTTGGCTCCTCAACAACTTGTTTTAAAGACAATCCCAGTAGGGAGTTTAGAATATGTGTGCTCCTGGCACAAGTAGCTGATTTTGTTTTCCAATTTACATCAGGAAGATTAAATTCACCCATGATGATTAACCAAATCCTGTCCTTGGAACGTCACAGCTTACACTGAAGATTAGTGATGTCCCGAACGGTTCGGCGAACATATGCGCTGTTCGGTCCGCCCCCTTTTCGTCATCATTGAGTAAACTTTGACCCTGTACCTCACAGTCAGCAGACACATTCCATCCAATCAGCAGCAGACCCTCCCTCCCAGACCCTCCCACCTCCTGAACAGCTCACTAAGTTTCACAATGAATGTAAAATGGATGCTGTCCAGGAGGTGGAGAGAGGGTCTGCTGCTGATTGGCTGGAATGTGTCTGCTGACTGTGAGGTACAGGGTCAATGATGACATAGGGGGCGGACCGAACAGCGCATATGTTCGCCGTCCATGGCGAACTGTTCGGCGAACCGATTGGGACATCACTACTGAAGATACACAGGCAGGGTGGTCTTTAAAGCCGGGCAACCTCATTGGACCACACTGGACCCCAAGGAAGCCACACAGAAAAAGGTAGGAAACTGGAGGGTGGGTTTAAAAATGTAAAATGAACATGACTGTCTGTGTGTGTCAGTATGTCTGTCTGTGTGTGTCAATATATATGTCTGTCTGTCTGTGTCAGTATGTCTCTCTGTCTGGGTGGGTCAGTATGTCTTTCTGTGTGTATGTCAGTATGTCTTTCAGTGTATGTGTCAGTATGTCTGTCAGTGTGTGTATCTGTGTGTGTCAGTATGTCTGTCAGTGTATGTATGTGTCTGTGTTCGTATGTCTGAAAGTATATGTGTCAGTGTATCTGTATGTAGTCAGTGTGTATATATTTGTGTCAGATGCACATACACGTATACATATACTGACAGACGGTATATCTGTCAGTGTATGTGTGTGTGCCAGGATGTCTGTATCAGTATGTCTACCAGTGTATGTGTCTGTGTTCATATACCTAACATTATATGTGTGTGTGTATCTGTATGCAGCGGCGTACATACCGCGGTCGCAGGGGTCGCAAGCAAATGCTTGCCCAGGGTCCAATCAACATGAAAGACGGCCCTGTACACAGGACTACTACTTTTTCCACAACTTATAAACTGGTCTAGATGTAATAAAAAACTAATAGCATATACACTGCTCTCCATAGTTGTATATCAGTTTCTTCCCCAGTCTTATCCCTGGTTTCTTTCTGTTTCTTGCTCAGTTTTTTTCACTCCTGTTTTTTCCTATTCAAACTCCTCTACACTCTCTTTCCTTTTTGGTGTTCATCTTCAGTCTCCCTATTTTCAAAATTCAGGAGTAGAGGAGGATTTTGTCAAATTTCAAGCACCTTTAGGACCATGCAACACCAACATAATAATATTGTCATATAATTCCCCCTACTCCTAGCTGAATGGCAAGACAAAATATGAAGTGGGAAACCAAGCAACCTCCATTTCTCAATGTTGTGTGCAAATACGTGAGTATTAAATTGAAGGGTCAGAAACTGACAATTTGTACAACACAGCTTTTCGAATTCCTTGAAGTGAAGCAGCATGACTGCTGACGGAAATACCATACCCGTCACCCCCAATAACGACATGACATCTGATTGTTGGGTAAGGGCAACGGCCACAGCTTTATTAAACTTTAACAGCGCCAGCATTTCCACCTGTCAGCTGTTGGGGTGACTAACCAACAGACAGATACTCCAAGTCTTTATCCAGAGTTCGTACAGCCTGCCTTCGGCCATCAGCCCTAGCAGGCTGCGACTCCCCAAATCCTTTACACTCTCTTTCCTTTTTGGTGTTCATCTTCAGTCTCCCTATTTTCAAAATTCAGGAGTAGAGGAGGATTTTGTCAAATTTCAAGCACCTTTAGGACCATGCAACACCAAGATAATAATATTGTCATATAATTCCCCCTACTCCTAGCTGAATGGCAAGACAAAATATGAAGTGGGAAACCAAGCAACCTCCATTTCTCAATGTCGTGTGCAAATACGTGAGTATTAAATTGAAGGGTCAGAAACTGACAATTTGTACAACACAGCTTTGCAAATTCCTTGAAGTGAAGCAGCATTCCTATATTTAGGATGTATAATGACAACTCCAAATGTAGATTTTTGGTGACTAAATCTTGACAACCTAGGCTTCTGTAAGTCGCTATATTTTTCAAATTCCCTAGTTATAAATCTGCTCAACAAGTTATCTAGAGTTGCCGTATTAAGTGAATTTTATGTATGCTAAAGTAAATTATGCCAGAAAACAGTGAAAATCTGTGAAATATGGGTTTAAAATGATTTATTGTTTAGTGAATTTGATGACAGATCTGTTTTCAGAATAGATTATGCAAGAACATAGTCAGACAGATGTAGCACCTTCAATGTACCCTATGAAAAGCAGTAACATATTTACAGCATTATAAAACATGTATAACTAATGTGCTATGGAAAATCTAGAACACAAATTAACATAATATACACCTAGTTTTTCTGTGGTTGGTGAAATCCTGTACAAATAATAAAAAAAACAAAAAACAATCACTGTTCCTTTATATACTTTACACAAAATCCACACCACCAGAGATGGAAATACTTTTAAAGGGAAATGTCTCTTCCCAGGATTTTTTATTTTATGTTTACTTATCTCAAATATTTAACAAACATGTATTTGTGAGACGTGCAAAATACAATTAGCTGGTGATTTATTTTCTCAAATCCATTGAATCCCAGCTGATCCATATCCACCGCACTCAAAAATCCTTTAAAATCAATCTATGAGAAAAATCCTCATAATATAAATGTATTTACATACCTGTTTTACCTGTGACATAGATGACAAGGAACTGTATAGATTAACAGAACCCTGCACGTGGCAGAAGGTAGGAAGAGGAAAAAAAAAACCCACAAATAATAATAACAAAGTGTTTAACCAGGAAAGGTACATTCAGATTGCTCTGGTTTCCAAGTACATGTTACCTTAGCCCAACATCCAGGGTTGTTACTATCACCCAATTTAATGGTACTCATTTTATCTACCTCGGAAGGATGAAGGGCTGAATCAACCCTGCTGGGATTTGAACCTGCGACCCCCAAGGGTTAGAACAGATTCTGCTGTTGCATTAGCCCACTGAGCTATTTCACTGGCCTTAAAGAAATTAAAGAAACACTGGACATGGTTTGCCTGGCCCTAGATTAGAGCAAGTAAAACTTTATTTAGAATGCTCTTTCAGTGTTTACTTCCGGGAGGTCCTGAAGACTGATGCCAATAGGTTCTTATTCTAATTACAACAACAACACGGTTGGAAAAATACTTCAATTATTTAGACCAGAGATACACCGCACAGTCCAGTTGAAATGCAAAGAGTAAAAGGTCCCATTCTTTGACTTTTTTTTTATCATTCCCATTCCTCTTTCCTGTCCTCTGACTTCTACTACCTTATGTTACCACAAGCATCTCCGTGATTGACCATATACATGACATGACTCCAGGGAGGGCAGGCTAGTCTTTCCTGTGGCTTCTGTGCTCACAAACTCATGGACAGCTGGTCACATAATGATTTTTACACAGTAAAGAGAGAAAGATTAGTAAAATAATCTGCATACTTATGGGGTCCAGGCATAATTCAGTATGTATTCCTCTCTCTATCTACTGTCTCTCTTAAGTTTTTTCTGTGTATAATTCAGGAATTTGGGTGGTTACATACATAAAAATAGGACAACATGGAGACAAATCCTATGCCTGTTTTTGTTTAGTTCCATTATTGTTTACCAATCTGTAAACCATCATTGCACTTTTAAGGAAATTGTTGAAAATAAAACATGTAAGGTTTTTTTCTGACTTCCTGTATGATTAACAAATCTGTAAAAATAAAAAAACCAAACAGTTTCCATTTCAGCATTTTCAAAGAAATATAATTAACACATTCATTATTTAATTAATTAACACATTAAATATGACATTTCAAATCTTGCCGTCCATCAACAGCCTTGTGACAAAAAATATGTTCCTCAACAACAAGAAATAAGAATGATATAAAGTTGACCTCACTAGTATTACAGAGGAATAGAAGAGGAAAACAATATTTGTAAAAGGAGAGTGGGGTGGGGGGAAACATTCTAAACTGCATAAATTCTTCTCTGAGGTGCTGGATAGGTGCTGGAGGATCCGAGGGCAGTCAAATCACTGTTACACATCTGAGAATGCCTGATTATAGCTTCCTATTGAAGGAGGTTATACAACGCAATGACAATTGTAGAAGACAAAGGGGAAGAATTTCATCCCGCAGACAAGTAACTTCCAGACTGCCTATTTCAAAACACAAGAAAACACTCTCAAAACACTTGCTGACAAC